ATATATATATATGTATGTATATGTATGTATGTATGTATGTCTAAAATATATACATTTCACATTTTGTCTAAAAGTGCAAAGCCACTCATCTACCTAATCATTCTCATCTCAGTAACACTTAACTTAGTTTTATGCTTCTCTTTTATAGGTCAACATTATGCATCATAAAGAATCGCAAATCTCACCACCATCTTATAAAATTTTCCTTTCAAGTCTAAACAGTACTTTTTTTATGCATTCCTCCACTTGAACCATCCAACTTAAATTCTACTAATAACATCCCCATCGACCCATCTATATCATCATCGCTTCGAACAATAGATCTGAGATACCTAAATCGATCACACCTTTTAATAATTTGATCACCCAAAGTTACACTTCTGTCACTAGAGCTACTACTACTAAAATTACATTCCATGCAATCAGTTTTGGTTCTACTCAAGTGAAGGCCTTTACACTACAACGTAGACCTCCATAATTCAAGTTTTTCCTAGGCTTTTTCACTCGTCTTATCCACGAGAAGGATACAATCAGCAAAAAGCATACACCAAGGTACATCCTCCTGTATACATCCTCCAAAAGACCAGCAACGCCATATATAAATAATTTGTCGTTCTTTCGAGAAAACTTTGAAGGACATTCCTCTCCCACTTCTTCTCCAAACAAAAATTTTTCCAAGGCCAGCGTTTACTGCAACCGAATGAAACTTCACCACATTCCCAAACGATCCCTACATCAATATCAGATAACAAGCACACCCTCACCCAAATAAAATTTCTCATGGCCAACATCAAGAGCATTATCTTCACACAACTTACTCTTGACAATCATCTCACTTGGAAGGTAAAAATCGTGAAACTATTTCAAGCAAGTGACTAAAAAGAATTCTTGAAAGAGCCTTGCAGCTGTCCAAATCACTACAACATTGATCCCATGGGTAACTACATACCAAATTCTTATGACCTCAAATAGAAAGTTATAGAACAATATTATATAGCCATTCAATATTCGGTTACCCCCCTCCCCTCCTCCCCAATGTCCTCAACTCGAAATCAGCTCACAACATATAGCCTCATTGGAATGTTGTATCGAATCCACCAATCAATCATGTATCATTCAGTTAAAAAATGAGCTACACAATGTTTCTATGAGAGACAAACATGAATCAATACGTCAAATCCAGTTAAAGAATAAGTTGCTCAATCTTGTTACTCTTATACTATAGAGTTATAACTCACAGCTTTTCTCACTTCTATAAATACTGATGTAACTCTCCTGTAAAATTAAGAAACCTGAAGAACTAATTTCTAATGTTCTGTTCTCTCACTCTGCTCTGCATTTGTGTTGCATTTCTGTTAACATGAAGAACTAAAAATCCCTTCCCATATTTATAGCATTTTAACTATTTTGATTGATTAAATGCACAAAGAACTTTGGAGGTTGGATTTTCCAAATATTTTTCTGCAAGCATAGATTTATTTATTTTTTCTATTATTTTATAAGTACTAAAATCTTGAAGGAGACAATAGAAAAATTACTCATAAATAGTTTTGGTTACATTAAGGCGAATATGAATATTACAATTCCATATTTTAAGTTGATCACAAACTAACCATACTAAGTAATATATATATATATATATATATATAAATATATATGTGTGTGTATATATATATATATATATATATGTGGGTGTATATATATATATGTG